TATTATTGTTACTATTACTGCTAGAAGAGGAAGAAGCTGCAGCTGATGTAGATTGGGCACCAGTTGCATTTCTTGTACCACCACTTCCACCACTGCCACCACCACCACCACTACCACTCATGCCACCTGGAAAACCAGAAACTCTTCCATTTTGTTGTATTTGTGTTTCAGTTTGATCTAATTTTTCAGCAAGATCATATATTTGACCTGCTGAATACTCTCTATTCTATATAAAATTGAAAATAAATAAAAATCATTATTTTAAAATATGATGATAATAAACAGCAACAACAATATCATTATTATTAATACCGTAATTAAAGGAGAAACTCCACTTGGAAAGATTACTAGAGATAGGTATATATATATATATATATATATATATATGTTTAGATGGATTTAAATTTAACTATTCTATTTAATTATTTTTTTTTTTTCAATTATATATTTGCTAATTATTTATTGTCAATTCCAAAGTACCAAAATTACTGTTGAAGCAGCTCATGGATTAATTTCTCAAGTTTTAAAAAATGTTTTATTCAATCAAACATACAATAACAATGATGATGATAAAGGGGATGAAATGGAAATTCCATCCTGAATTTCCAAATATTAGATATTTGTAACCACACATCTAATATTTGTGAAATGTTTTATTTTTATAACTTGAAATAAAAAAAAAATTTGAATTGTATATATATACAATTTATCATGAAATCTAATTTATAAGGAATTTTTAAATTTATCAGTAAGATGTTGTTGTAACATAAAACCCACAATCAAAATGTTGAACAATTACCTTTAATTTTATAGCTTGCGTTTATTTTCATCTCTCGTACGGTGCAGATCATCTATAATCATTAATATTAATTGCTTATAGTAACAATTGGTCAACTTCAAAATACTAAAACAAAAAAAAATTATCTCATTTTAAAAAATTTAACCGATAAGTTTTATTATTCATGACTCAAGCTTCGAAACTTATCAGTTGGTTTTTTCTTAAACTGAAAATTGGTTGAGCCTTAGAGGCACGAAAATTGTTTAATAATGAGTTTATGTTCAATTCATTCGTCAAAGTCCGTTGTGTCATGTCGATCATATAAATAGTGATGTAATATTTCAGTCACAAATAAAAAAAAATTTTTATAAAAATATTTATTTTTATACAATGTCACATAATAAATTATTATCATCAACATCATCAGAAATAAAGAGCCTTGTATATAAAATTTATACTGAAATGTATAATAACGCAATGGCTAATTCTGATATAGAAAGTAGAATAGATTATTTTTTTTCATTAGTTGAAAAAAGCAAGGAGCTTTCTGACAATGAAAAAGAATATTGTATGGAAAGGTTTATTTATGACTTTGAATTAACTAATGCAACTTATAAATTGGGTAAACCAAAAGAATGTAACAAATGTAAATCAACAAGATACTCTGATAGATTCTGTGAAGGTTGCATTAGTTTACAATTACAGAGTCTTTTCACCACTTGGACATCTGGAAATAACATAGTTGATGCTTTTATTCAACAATGTCAAATGAAAGCATCTTTGCCAGCTTATATTTTAGAATGGATACCTTTTGAACAATTTTATGAAATTACAAAGTTGACTGAAGGTGGATTTAGTTCAATTTATACTGCTACATGGACAAAAGGTCATATAATTGATTATGATGAAAATAAAAAGGAATTCAGTTATTATGGAAGGCAACTAATAGTATTAAAAAGTTTAAATAATCCAGGAAAAGCATTTTTTGATGAGGTTGGTAGTTATCATTTAAAATAAAAATAAACAATATTGTATTATATAATACTAATTAATTTATATTTAATTACAGGCAATAAATTATTCTAAAATTAAATCACAAATGATTGCTCCTTGTTATGGTATAACTAAATTCCCAGATAATGGAAATTATGCAATTGTTTTAAATTATCATCCAGAAGGAAGTTTAAGGGAATATTTACAAAAAAATCATTTAAATTTGACATTAAAAAATAGAATTGCAATATTTATGTATTTATGTTATCCACTATATCAAATACATGAAAAAGATTTAATACATTGTGATTTACATAGTGGTAATATATTATTACAAGGAGGTGCTTGTTATATTACAGATTTGGGATTATGTGGACCAGTTGATGAAAAATCATCAAATAAAATCTTTGGAATTATACCATATGTTGCACCTGAACTATTTGGAGACAAAATCAATACAAAAAACACAAAAGAAACAGATATTTATAGTGTTGGGATGCTGATGTGGGAAATATTTGCAGGCTATCCACCATTTGACAATAGAGCTCATAATCATTGTTTAATTTTTGATATATGTGAAGGTTTACGGCCACCAATATTACCAGGAATGCCTGATGATTATGCACAAATGATGGAGAAGTGTTGGGATGTGGATCCATCAAAAAGACCAACTATTAGAGAACTTTATTATTTTGCTAAAGATAAATATGAAGAAATTCTTAAAAATAACAATGATAATAATAGTGTTAGTAATAACACTACTAGTAGTGGTAGTAATGATTTACAACAAGTATACAAATCACATCCAGATGCATATTATACAAGTAGAATATTAGATGGTGAAATTATTAAATCAAGAGGCTTAAAAAGTTATACAAGTAATGGTAGTTCATTAAATAATCTTGATTTCCCTTAATGTTGAATGTGAATAAAAACTTCATTAATTAATTAGAGATTAATTACTACCAACAATATTTTTTTTATTCCGATTTAATCAATTAATAAACATTAGATTCTAGTAATGATAGTAAAGGAAAAGATATTGAAATAATTGATAAGATTGATGGATTATCAATGGATGGTTGATTAATTTAATATACACTATAAATTTACTTGATATATTTGTCTTCTTTTTCATTTTGTTATTTATTTCTTAAAACTAAATTGTAATAACATATAAAAAAAAGTTTTAATAAAACTATAAATTTTTGATTATTATATGGGGCATACTGCAACAAAACCAGACAAAGTGAACATTGGTATTACAAAGGATTTGGGGGATCAATAGTGTTTGTTTAATATCACAATTGTATTACAATGAAACTCATTTACATTAGGTCTACTATGGAACCAAAGAATTATAGTACTATTAGAAGTATTTTGAAGAAAGAACA